AATGGGAACAATTGTTCAAAATGTGAGAGATTACAAAAAAATTAACACTAAGTTAGAGTCTTCTGCTTATTTTGATACTTTATAATTAAAGTGAATTGTTTAATTTATTTCTTTCTTAGATAGTTTACTAGCGTATTCTTTTCTTTATTAACTAAATTATTTTTATTATCTTCATACTTTTCAACTAAAAAATCAGTAACTACTGGGCAATGATCACTTCCAATAATTCTATTTAAAATTGATGAATAATTAACTTCCTTAAAGTTACACAAAATTAAATCAATTCTACTTCCAAGATTTTTAGGTCTCAATCTCTTTTCAATATTCCAACAGGTATAAATATTAGTTCTTTGATCAAACATTCTAAAAGAATCAATTAAATTATACTTTTCTATAAAATTTTTTAACCACTTTCTTTGCCAAACAATAAAAAAATATTCTAAAAGTGATTTAAAGTTTTTAAATTCATAAGGTAATTCTAACACACTGGGATTAATCTTTGTTATTAAATTACTTTCTAATGGTATTGAATAAGAAATTTTTTCTCCTTGTGTTAGTATTTTTTTATATTCTTGCTGGTAAAGAAAAATATCTTTTAGTTGATACGCAGCGTTTAAATCTCCTAAAATAATAACTTTTTCATCACAATGTTTAATAAAATCTTTTTCTAAAGACTGGTAAACTGACTTAATTTTATCTTCAAATTCTTCATTTTCTTTATAATCATCAACTAACATGTCTTTATTACCGTTATAATATGGCATGTAACAGTTATATAATATAAAATTTCCGTGATAACTTTTTAATATACGACCCTTAACAATTTCAACTGATTTACTACAAAATGTTGTTTTCTTCTTTAAAAAAGTTCCTACTCCATGTTTACCTTTAATGTCATGAAAACTTAGTAATGAATAATAGTCTTTTAAGAATTTATACTTTTCAAATGGTACTTTAGATCCTTTTAGTTCCTGTAAACAATAAATATCACAATTCATCTTATTAAACCATGCATTAATATCTCCTCCACATTTTGATTCAAACGCTCTTAATCCGTTTATATTAAAAGACATTATTTTCATGTTTAAATAAATTTTTATTAAAAATAAATCTATAATTTTTAACTTAAGTTTTATGTTTAAACAAGATAATTTAAATTGTTTAAAAAGTTATTATTTTATACTATAAATGGTTTTATTTTAATACTAGAAATTTTATATTAAAACATTTCTTTTAATAAACAAATAAAAAATTTAATTTATTAAATTTTTCTAACAATTTTTATTAATATTATTTATTTTAAAATATCTTATCTTACTATTTTATTTATATTCT